CCCAAAAACGGCTTTTTTGACTGTTTTTTTTTAATTTGCCTCCGGCGCTGAAAATTTTGCCCAAAATAGTGGAAAAACAGTGCTTTGGGAGAGCTCGAAAAATTAATTTGGTGGACCTAAAAAAAACGTTCGTCTAAATTTTCGAAAATTTTTTGAAAATCCACCACCCGCCCTCGAGAAAATCCCAGATCCGCCACTTCTTATGTCTATACATAATTTTTATTGGATTGTAATCGATAATAATTAATTAACGGATTTTCATTGATTTAAAAAATATTTGGATTTTAATCCATTTTACTGACTATAAAATGACAATTTAAACGATTATTATCCATGAAATTCCATTGCGGGTTGAGTATATGGTTGTTCAATCAATTGTGCACATTGTTCTTATGCGTCTTTTAAATTTTGTGTAAGGCTTTGGTGACTTGGGTGATATTGGTGTCGGTTTTCTTTGCGCTGGATTCACCACTTGTATAGAGAGTCAGAGATGTGTATTTGTTTGCCTTGCTATTTTATGTTTTTTAATTGGTTGCCCGCATTATGCGCCCATGGATTTTAACGGATTATAATGGATTACCAAGAGAAAATAATCCATTATAATCGATTAAAGATGTAGATTGCCATTATAATCGATTTTTTTCGAAAAAAAATCAATTTTAATCCAACATACTCGATTTTAATACATTGTTATTAGAACTGAAATCAAATTTTTTTGCCAAGATTATATATTATAACTGATTTTTTTTTGAATTAAAAATCCATTATAATCCATTATAATCGATTATAATCCCTTTTTTTAGAACTAAATTTGATTACTTTTGCAGAAAATCTGCCCCTCTCCCAAAGTCTACGAAAAAATGCCCCCCCGTAGTCAAGCTGTGAAGAAAGATGGCGGGAGATGAGGAGGAGGGTGTAAACAGCGAGGGGGGAGGAGGAGAAAAATTAAGAGCCAATAAGACAAAAAGTAATAAATTTTAATGTAATTTTTTTTGATGGATTATAATGAAATAAAAATTTAAAATAGATTTTTTGTAATTTTAAAGATACTGACCATATTATGATATTATAACCGATTGTGAGCCATGGGCGCTCGGTGCCGGTGCTTTGTTTTCAATTTTTGACTGCGTTTTCCCTTTTTTGCGGTTTTTGCTAAGAGGCTTTTGAGGTTGTCGTAACGTTTTGAATTTTCGGAGTTCTAGTTCTTTTATATAACCTATTAATATTGCATCTATGGAAATTTTTAATATTTGAGCTAGAATTTTTTAAAAGGCTTAATAGAGTATTCAACAAGAACATTGTTTGTCTGTTTATCTGAAAGCAAAACAAAAAAAATGTTCTTCACCTTCTCTAAACACGAAAAAACCTAGAAAATTCTATTTATCTTATAATTTAGTTAAATAAATTCAAACATAAATGGACAACCCTAAATAATCAATAGTTAAAAGCACTGTAATGTATCCATTTGTGTGTCATCAATTTTGAGTTTATACATTTAGATTGTAAATCTAAGCTAGGATTTTGGGCTAATGTTTTGCGCCTTTAAAAAAAATTTCGAGTTTTTTTTGTTCAGAAATGATTGCAGTTGATATTAGGTTTTGTCATCTAGCTCTAGTTTTTTTTTAAAAAGAGCGAACTGGAGTTGATTCGTCTTGTAATTGTTTCCAAAAACGCATTGTTTGAAATCTTAAGATTGAAGTTCGTTTTTTTATTTAAGCTTATGTCAATTCTGTAAAGTCGTAGTAAAGTCTTTGGAAAGGTCTTTCAACCTGCCTGTCGAACATAATTTGCCGGAGAAAAGTCTTTTTTAGTAATGTATCTTTTTGAATTCTAGAACTCAAGAAATACCAGTGTTTCATAAAGATGGATAGTAAAAATTCTCTATAAGAATTGGAGAACTTATCGATGGAACTTTTACTGTAGCGGCAATCGGAGCATTGGCGGAGGAAGTGAATGATAAAAGCGGATTGAAATCCGGTATGAAGTCGAAATTGAACTTCAAAAAATCATCAAGATGAAAAAACCGTGGTAAATATCAAAAGGGAATGGTGTCCAATGTTATTTGATCACTTGGAAAAGGTCAACAGAAAAACATAACGTGAATCACAAAAGAAGTTTATTCTATGACTGAAAGCAGAGGGAGAATGAAACAATTAGGTTATTTCGAGCTGAATTTAGAGCTTTAGCAGGATGCTGCGATGTATGAACATGAGAGAATTGGATTGCCAGCTGGAATTTTCAAGGACAACAGAGTCACCGGGAGAGATTTACAGATTCGCCCTAATTTGTGATCAGTGTGAGGGGGGTAGAACTCATACACGGGAAAATCGGCGAAACATGAGCTTGTGGGAATATTCTGCGGAGTAGTTCCGGAAACGAGGAGGAAGCAGAAAATAAAACGGACTGCAGGTTCGAGGAACGGTAAACACAAGGAAATGTTTACAACTGTGATGCCTTCAACTTTACATTGGAACACATTCACATATGACCAAAGCAAAACACAAAGTTGAAAAATCGGCCTCTCTAAATGGACAAAATGGGGATTGCGTGGAGGCATTAACCAGTGGACAAACCAGAGTTGGCATGGTGCAAGAAGAAAAAACACCACCATTAACCAGTGCGTATCGAGAAAAAGTTTATAGGAAAAGTCTTCTTGATTGGTAAATCAGAAAAACCAATCAATTGGGTCGTCGTCTGACTCGCCAATCAAATAGTTTGGTCAATTAGGAGGATCTGTAACGACCTCAAAAAAAGAATTCCCAGTGCCCGTTTTCAGGCAAACCTGTCGGGGGAACAAAATGAATGTGGGTGTTCACCAGTGATGAATTTTGGCTTGATTGATTTCAAATATACCGTAGGTAAAGAAAACCCATAATTGGTGCCAGGTAAAGACTAGTTGCTCACTTACAAGAACAATAGGATCAGTATGCTCGGTAAAGGCAGAAGTAACGATTGATCGGAAGAATTTGCGCCTCACGAGAAAGAATTTGTCCTTGCAGATAATCACCAGTCAAATCTGGGTCCAATTTGATGGCCCCTGAACTGAATTTCCTGCAACATAAAAGAGTAAGGGAGTCAAAGAAGAAAAGGAAAACGATGAGTAGGACCATGAAATAGACAATTGCCAAACAAATTTGGGTAAGTTTTTTTCCTACAGTATTTTTTGCAATAGGAAAAACTAGTACTGTAGAGGATCAAGCGAATTTCTTCGACAAGTTAGGACCAATCCAACAAAATCAAGCAAGGGTGCCAATATATTTTTGGGATGAGTCATATAAGGAAGTATTGCAAAAATATGGTGCTAAAACTTGCAATACTAAGTATAGTAAAATTAGAGAAATGATCGGATTAGCATTTCGTATCCCAAGTCTGAGTCACAAAAAAGAACGATGACAGTATAAAATTGGCATTAGAACAAAGTTAGGCAAACAGAGAAGTAAAAAAACCCAAATATAGACAAATTGGTGGACATGACAAGCCAGTTTATCGCGGAACTGAATGGGGGACATTTGTTATACAACTTATGATTCTACATACGTCTATCGAAAGGTATCTTTGATAGAGAAAACAAGCAAACAATTCAATTTACACTCAAATAGGGGATGTCTACCGGTGTCTACCAATTTGAAAAAAGATTCCACTGGTAAAGTACAAATTTCGAAAAAAAACACAATCACAAAAAAAATCACAGGTCTACGCTTTCAGTGATAGTATCTTGATGGCATCGAAAAAGAACCAAGATCGAGCTTGAGGCTTTCTTTGGGATAAATTTAGACCATAGAACGTAGCAAACTCTCCGAAAATTGCGAAAATACGAAAACGCAAAATCAAGATGCTATTAGTCGGGGCTCGGAATTAGCTGCTCGGGATTCGACCTACCGGTACGTAAAACAAAAGCGATTAACAAATTGAATACAGCTAAAATCAAAAGTATTTAAGTCACTAAGGAAGTCTTTCACTAGCTTGCTCAACTTTTGTCGGAACTGGAGGTCTTGATTTTACGATTAGGACCGCTACTTAGCCAAAATATTAAAGCTTCCTGCATACAGGGATACAAAATGGCGTTGTACTAATTAAAAATTTAGTAGCCAACAAAATGGGAGTATTCGGGATATGTCCTTCGGGAGTATTCGGGAGTATTCGGGCTACGACTGGCTCTGAGCAATGTCATATCAACACGGACGAAAAAGCTGGCGTCTTTATTCAATCGCATCCCAATATTTAGACGAGGCTGAACGAAAGTACTCGGCGAACAAAAATGAGCTTCTAGTCGTTGTTTGGGCCACAAATCACTACCGAAACTAAATTAACGAAAGATAGTTTACATTTGCTTCAGATCTCAATTCTTTCCAAAGGTGAAATAAAACAGTTTTGGTACGACCCACTTTTGCCTTTTGACTTTAGAGAAGAACTTCGTAGAGGGTCTAAGAGGACAATGTAAATAAATTACTTATGCAGTTTTCCATCAACAAAAAAATTGCCGCAAACCATTATCATGAAAGCTTTAGAGTGACGACAACTCAAAGGATAAATGAATAAATACATTTCCGATAAGAATAAAGAAAGAAAAGAAGAAGGAGTGCGGGGCGAGAAAATCAATGAAATTGAAATATGAAAAAAAAACAATGGTAGATAGCGTTTGTTCATGCAAAAAGGTCTCACCTTATTGAAATCAAATCACCAAAGGAGAAGCAAAAAACAATCATAGGAAATTCAAACTCCGATCTAAAAATATATGTGATAAATTGCTATGAAGAAGTAAAAATGGCATAACTTTCCTCACTTTTAACACCTGTCAAAGAAGACAACGGGACCTACATTTGAAGAAACAACAATGCAAGATTGAAATATAAATTTGAAACCTGTTCTGAAAAACTTCGCAAATCTGCCACAGTCTCAGCTCCGTTAGCGCAAGTTTGGAAATTGAATTGGTTCGCACCAAGAGAGTTATCAGAAAACAAACATCTGCAAAGAGACAGAATATTTATTTCTTTTTCTAGTAAGTTCCAAGGATCATTCTACACAGTCAAAGTAATCATCACTAAAGCGTACCAACACTGCATGCAACACTACAGCGACATCGTTTGGGAGAGATGCCTCTGGATGGAAGGAATAATGGTAGCACCCAAGGTGTTATCACAGACAATGATGAACTGGCTGCAATGCCACCACAAGCGGAAGAACAAAACTTACTCGACCTTGAAGTACATGGATGCTAAAGATGCGTCAGAACTCAGCAGCAGTTGCAGAGTAATGCCAAAATTTCCTGGAAACTGGTGAAAATCTCAAGCCTGGTAATGTAAAGGGGTTTTTAAGGAGCCGAACGAAATGGTATAATTAGACTTCTGGGGCCCAATTAATAGGGTAAGTGGATGACAAAGTATGCCCTAGTAGCGATAGAAGTGTTCCTACATAAAAGTTTCCGTCAGCGTAAAACTAATCAAATTTTGAATCAAAAAAATTCAGCAAAAAAAACATCGCGACTCACGCACAGCCTCCTAGGAACCTGCAATTTTATAATGTTACCTGGTTTTCCTCAATAAAATTCAAATCTCCTGTAGTTTCGATGGCATCGAATTAATAAGACCCACACGAAAGGATGAAAGAAGCAGAGCGTCGATTAAATATTTTGTAAAAATGTACTTGAAGGAAAAAATATCAAAAAAGGAAAAATCATTAGTGCTGTTGTTGTTGCTGAAACTAAATCGATCACCTCGCCATTTGAGGCTCACCATGGAGAGAGGCAAAAACAGAGCTGCGAACCCTTAAAAAACCATCTCTGCCACCCCTTGAATCCAAAAAACATACTTATTCAGAAACTGTTTATGTAAAGCAAGTGGACTAGACGAAAAAATTTGTTTCAAAGTGAAGGACTGAGAAAAAAGGAGATAAATTTTACTATCTCCCAAAATAAGCAAGCCCCGAAAATTTTGAAAGAACTTGATTTAGTTGGGTTGAACATCCATTTAAAGCTCCGAAAACCCCCCTGAGCAGAAGCAAAACAAGACCGAAGGCACCTAGAAAACGGAGGGCCAAGCGGGTATAAAAAATCATAATTAAAAAAAAATTTAACTAAGACGGGGCAGTTTTTTGTTTCCATCGAAACCACAGAAAGCATCAAGACCATAACTAGGTGTACCGGTACAACAGATCAGCGACTATCTGCCAGTAGGAGCGCAAGAACGGGGGCCGAAAACCGGAGAAACGAAAAATGAACCAATTAGCCTACGATTGAAAGAAAAGAAAAGCATTGAAGAACCGAGGAATCGAGCGACAGGCAGCACGAGCAAATACAATAGAAAATGAGAGAAAAAAACACTGAAAACAAAAACAGGGACAAAATAAGCAAGTTTCTTCAGATAGCCGGCCGACGGACACTAAAACGCCTGCAATAAAGTCGACTTTTCACCAAAAAGTAGCAGCCAAACTAGATGAAATTATGACTAGAAAAATTCAAAAGAAAGGATGAAAAAGACGAGGCGATGGAAAACTGAAAAACGAGGAGCATGAAAACTGTAAAAGTGATCTGATTCAGGAAAGTTTCTTCCTCAATCCCAATTTGGTTTTTTGTATCGAATGATGTTTTGACTATTTTCTTACGATTTTTTTCTTTATGTGATTTTTTTGATTGCGGGATAACAATTTCTTCGTTTTTTTCGATCCATATTGCATAAGTTTGTGGGCTCTGATTACCTTTTTTCTTCAGGCTGAACTTTTTTACGATTAATTTTTTTTCGAGTAAGAAAATTTGTTTCAATATGTAATTTCTAAATTTTCATGGTTGTTTTCAGTAATTTTCATCGACTAATAGAGTGCTTTCTGATATTTGATATCACATATAAAGCTTTAGAGTTGGGTTATTTTGCATAATGCGTTTTCTTCGGGTTAATAGGCCAATGAGACAGTTTAGAGTTTTCGGAATGTTTTCTTTTCAAGTTACGTCTATTGGGTTATCTTGGGTTTATATGGTGTTCTTCTATGGCCTGTATCAAAGTATATAGTAAGAATAAAAGTTTTTACTCTTTGATCAGAAGCTTTATTATTACCTTGTATTTTTTTTGAAATTTATCTCTAAATAGTTATGACTTTTTGTAATGGTCTGAGGCTCGTTTTCCTTTATTTTATATTTAGAACTGATAATTGCGAGGTGTATAATTCGTTAGTCTATAAAATGCAGACTCTTTAGCCAATTTTAAAAAATTTTCAGTTTATTTATGAGTTCAGCTTCATGAAAATTTATACATGATTTTTTCTTTATCATTGCTTAACCCTGTAGTTTTTTTGCAAATGTGTTTTTTTCATGCTTTCAACAAATGTTCCACATTCCACGCAGCAAGTGAAATACGTTGACGGTAATTTTTGTACGGCGTCTGCACCAAGTCTCCAAGCTACAGATCTGGTTATTGAGCTCACGTTTGTTTGTCATTGGATTCCCCATGAAAAGTTAATATTCAAGGTGGTTGTTCATGGTCTAGATTTCTTTCCTAACTTTCTAACAAGCTTATAGAGCTCTTTGTCATTGATTGAATTATTATTTTTGTGATATCATGTTAGGAAAAGATTTCTTTATGGTCGAAAAACGCATGCAATTTTTTTTTGCATTGGTTGTAAACCTTGTCATGTTTGAAGTCAGCTGTTTTTTTTTCAGTTTTAATATTTTTTTTGGAATTTTCATGTTAACTGAGTTCTTTCATGTTGATCAGGAGTTTTCCCACATTTTGCAAAGTTTCTGCAAAAACAAACGAATATAATTCTGAAAAAAATGGATTACAATCGTTTATAATGATTTTTTTTTCAAAAATGAACGATTATCTTGGCAAAAATAATCGATTTCAGTGCCAAAATTAATGGACTTTATTCGATTACAGTAGATATTAAGGGATTTTGTTTTCAAAAATAATCGATCATTATGTCAATATTATCAATTTCGTGGTCTGAATTTTCTCATCTTAAATGGGTTATTATGGACTATTTTTGTCTCGGGCATCTGTTATAACCAATTAAAATCCGTGTGGACGCTCGGTGCGGGTAATCTATTTATGTTTGTGCATGGAAGGATATCTATTTCCTGAACTCGATTTGATCGATATGATTGGTGTTCTACGTAATGTATGCGTTCCTTCTGTTGTATTGGTTATCGTAGTTTTTTATATCTTTTTATCATGTCTAATTTTTTGTATTTAATGCGAGTAATTGTATCATTCCTGCTTTTATAGTTTTTTGGCCCTAAAAGAGCTTTCTTAGAGTTTTTCTGTATTTGATTTTTAAATTTTTTAGGGGTTTTTGCATGTCTCTAGAATAAGTGCGACTCTTATAGTATAGTTTATTTGTCTATTATGCTTAGCGTTTTCAATTATTTCTGCTTCTTCAATTGTTTCGATAATTGTTTGATTAACAAAAGTCGTCGAGCGTTAAGGATCTGTTGCTATAGTTGTTTGGACTAGTATGTGTTATTGATTGACTTTTCTTATGGTTTTGGTTATCCATAGAGAATCCCGTTGACTGTGATTTTTAGTCAGTATCTAGGAGATTGCTAGCTGTCATATTATCTTTGCTGGGGAGTAGGATATTCTGAAGAAAATTTGCCTTCGATTTGATAATTGGGTAGGCTGAGAAGGGGGTACGCGTCTCTTTTTGAATTGTAAATTGTTTTGGTTCATCATTTTGAGCTACGCATTTTGATGAGCTTAAGTTTTAATTTAGGAAACGTTATTTTTTGTTACAGTTTGTAATTCCCGTTTTTTTGTTTTGCTCAAGTTTCCTAGTTGGTTTGGAATATTCTAGTTTTATATTTAGTTTCCTAAAAATTATGATGGGTTTCCTAAAAGGTTGATGTTTTTCAATTTTTGGTTTTGAAATGTTTCTTTACTCATCTGTTGCGTTTATGTCGACATTAGAAGTTCAAAATCACGCGTGTTCAATCCGTTCTGGTGTTTCAATTCCTACTGGTTACTGTCAATTTATTTCCTAGGAGTAAACGTCTTATTTCGTTTCTTAAGAAATTTTGATGTTGGCTTTTTTTCTGAGTCTAACAAATCTGAAAATTTTGTGTGAATCTTTTCCAGTCACTTTTCATTGCTGCTGGAAGAAATAAATGCTAATTTTGGGCTAAACCATCTAGGTTGGACACTTAATTTTTTAGATGTTTTTTAACTTGTCTTCTATTGGTCATTCAGGGTCTGTTTGAGAAGAAAATGTGTCTTCTATCAATTTGTCTCCTATTGTGCATTCAGGGTCTGTTTGAGAAAAAAGTTTTCTGCGCCCAATTGATATCATTATTTCTTACCGTTTTTGTTGATCAAGGCTATTTCTATCGGACTTTCAGCGGCTGGTGGATGAGTATGATTTTTTTTGATGTCTACTAGTTTAATTTTGTTTGAGATGCTATGTTAAATATATCTTTTTCTTTTGTTGATGTGGTTCAATTGGTTGAAGTTTTTAATTATTTTAGAAAAAATTGAAATATCTCAATTGGGCAACCTGGATTTTTTTCCTGTACAGAAACCTTGTAGTTCTTTTCCGTTGCTATCTCATCCTTGGTGCTTTGTGTTTCTTCTCGGAAATTTGGTTGATATTTCTGAAGTGTTTTGATTTTTTTGGTATCTCAGTATCTATTATTTAGATAACAGTTTTTAGTTCGGTTGGGTTTTAGTTGGTCGAATACTCTTGTTTTAATAAACTAATTATTTGCTTGTTTTTTTTTCTCAGCGGTATATTTACATTTGCAACGACTATTTTGTTTCGTAATATGGGGTTATAACTTTGTTTTGAATAAATTGAGTATATTTCCTGGTTTCGATTCTGTCGGTTGGAATTAAAAGGGTTGGTTTAAATTAATAATCGAAGATCAATTCTAGTTGTTTCTAATTAATTAGGATTTTTTGTTTGAAGTTTGGAGTTTAATTTGATACCAAAGTGTCTTTAGACATCGTTCTTAGGAATATATATACCCGTTATCTTTATTGAACCCACAACCTCAGATTTGGAAGCGTAGCTTTTCAGAAAAATTTAAAAAGATTAGTCAAAAAACGGTTAAAAAAATTTGACTATTCCCATGGCCATAATTCAATGTGTAAAAAATTTGAGCATGGCCGCTGATGGAGGGGTGTTTTTCAGTTCCCCGTAAAATAATACCAAAAGGAGGACCTGTTGGTTGGCGAGGGGGTCGAATCCCTGAAAGAAGGAGGCGTACCTCCTAAATCCGCTCCTGTAAGTATTCCAAATTCCACATGAGACGATCTTAGATTATAAAATCAACCTTGAACCTAAAATTGACCAAAACTATTACTAATATATGATTGATCAGTTTTATTAGTAAATATAACAGTCTTCTTATGTTTGCAAAGCGGTCTGCATATTTCCTGTCCAATTTATTTGGACTGTTTTCTATTTGGTTGAATTCATCCTCGAGTCATTTCAAACCTGCGATTGCAATAACTTAGTCGCAAAATCAGAAACTGAAAAGAAATTATTTTCAAAGTAAGTATAGAATGTCTCCTTAAGATTCTCGCAAGCGATATTTGTTTTTAAAAAGATTAACTTAATTGATCAAATCTGTGTTGACTTTTTTTTTTGTTCGCCCCAATGAGTATTCGTCTCTTGGTTATTTTCACCTTTTCTTGGTTTTTTGAGTTTTCGAAATGAAAAACAAAAAATGCTATTTTTGAATCTAATTATGGTCATTTTGGAATTGAAGAGCAGCTTTTAATTTTTAATGAATTGAATTACCCTTCCTTATATCCGTATTAAGTATCATAATTAAGTCCTTCCGCGACGACTCTTTAATCCAAAGACAAGTCGGATCAAGTTAGCTTTCTTCCAACTGCAAACTGCTCTGAAGGGTAGGGGGTGGTATGTTAATGGGGAGGGGGCTGCTATGAGGGGGGCGGGGGGGGGGTTGGTTGGATTGGTATGTTAATTTGGTCCGATAAGTCAACTATTCTCTCAAAAAAGAGGTGCTTTGAGAACTATCCTTTTTTTAAAACCTACGTATTTCATATATGTTTTGCGGTAAAACAAATTGTTTTAATTATTTGTATGAAATTATATTATTTGGGCAATAAATTGATTGCACTTATTGGCTATGAAGCCTTCTAAATGTTGCTCTAATTGGCTATGAAGGCAATCTAGTGCTGATGCTATAAGACAATGCTACATTGGAGGGTACAAAGGCAACATGGGCGGGGGATATCGTGTTGGGGGCGGGTGCTTAGAGTATTTAGTTTTCGTAAGTTGAGTAGAAAGGGTATGTCGGGAATATCCCAATTTTGTATCATTATTGTTATTATCACCTGATATTCTGCATTTACGGTGAAAAACAATCGTAAAATAAGATTTTTCAACCTTTTTCCCTAATTCAAAAGTTGCACAAAAGTCGATTTGTTGTGTAAATGAGCATCATCTATTTCTTCGTCCAACTTGTAGGATGGTGATGATTCTGGTGAGTACAAACCTGCCGGCGGAGAAGTTCTCGGAGGGGTCTGGGAAGGCCAAGGAGATAGTAGCCTCCGTCTCCAAACACTTTGACATCAAACCAGAGGTTAATTTGAAATTTTCTTAAAGTCTCAGAGTGGTTATTGAGATCAGTAGCGGATTAAGAGAGAGGGGGGGGAGGAGGAATGGGACACCTTGACGGCTAAATGGTTCCCCCATTTAGTACTATCGGAGGGCATCTTTTTATGCTGATCGGTCCATGTTTTTTTTTCAAAATTGCGTTTGGCGCTAACTTATACCAACTTTAAGGGCGAAACTTACGCCAGAAAAATCCAATTTTTTTTTCTCCAAAAAATGCCTTAAGACGTCTCTTTTGCTTAAAATTTCGAAAACTTGGTAAATAATTAAGTATTTATCGTCATTTGAGAGAGCCTGGAAAATCATTTTGGTCGATTTTTAGAATAAATCGACCAAAAATTTGATCGACAACAAATTCGCCCCTAATTGAATCCAAAATTTTTTTTTGAATTCAAATTAATTTTCCAAACTCAACAACAATTTTTTTCGAAAGATTTTGACGTTATTGCTGATGAAGCAGGGTCGCAATTAAAAATCAGGGTAGCAAATTCTTCAGCAGGGTAATAATTTTTCAGTAACCTTTTTTTGATACCAAAAATGTTGTCAGTAGAGTTTTCTCAACCAATGAAATGCATTGTTATTTTCGATCTGAAAACAAAAAGACCACAAAGCAAGTTTTTAATTCATAAAGATCAATTCAACTTATTTGCGGGCATTTTTGCGGCGCGTCATAACTACCTAATTATTTCAAATTATCATTATATAACAATTTTTATACATTTTGTTGAAAAATGTTTGTTAAAGTTACTGAGGATCAAAAACCATATGATTTTTTCCAATTCAGTACGTTTTTGGCGCATTTCGAACTGTGCTTTTTGTGAATTGTCAATGGATTTCGCATTAGGCCGAAAACAAAACAAGACTGCTTTTAAATCAGGGTAAAGCCGGAAATGTTTCGACTGCACTTAGGGCCAATTGAAAAGTTTTTTTTTCAATGTTTTTTTTCTAAAGTTTTATCCCACTACATGCTATGTAAATTACCAAGGTTTTTTTAGCGTCTCGTATTGTAATAATAGGATTAAATTGCTGGCCTCAGTTCAATTTGGAACGCATTAATTCCATTTTTTTGCGTTTTATAAGTACGCAAGGTATCGCTTTTGAAGTATCCTAAATTGGCCAAACTAGCTATTTTCAAATATAGGTAACTCTACAAAAAATGATCACAAGTGAAATATCTTCATAAGTGTGAGCTAAGGTTAACAAAATCTCTCAGATTTTATTTAAAAAATTCCGTCAAAAACGCTCAGTTAACAGGTCGAAAATTGACTTAACAAAAAAAACCACACCAAGCATAAATATTCCTTGCTTTTTTCGAATACCGGAACCATAATCGCGGAATCTGCAACAATGGTTTTTTTCTTTGATCTTCTTTGCTGTTTTGGATATCACGGACAAGTAGCTAAATGAATATATTGTATTGCTCAAATCCGCTCCTAAACAGGCAACTTTGCGGAATCCGCATCAAAATTTGAAGAATCCGCAACAAAATAATACTTGTGTTTAGTAATTTTAAGTTGTCGTTGAATCAGCAACTGTGAGTGAAATCCGCAAAATGCAAGCGAAACTCGCAAATTGTAAGCGGATTCCGGAAATTGTAAGCGGAATGCTCTAACGGTTGCGGAATCCGGAACAACTGTTTATGGTCGCTCGTTCAGGAAATCGCAGTAAAACTGTTAGGCCGAGAAATTTTACGTTGCAGATATTTATACGCAAAATCCACGGAAGGTTTGTAAGTGAAATCTCTTACATTTTGAAACAAGTTGAAAGACTTCTCTCTGGAATCCAGGAACATACAGACAAAAATTAAAGTGCTTAACCTTTGCACAGTTTGACCTCGTAGTGCGTTGTGAAGAGAAATAAAAATGAGCGCGTGGAAATTTAATTAATTAGACATAATCGGCGAAAGTTGTCTCCAAAAAATCGACGAACAAAACAACGAAAAAAAACTACTGCTCGTGAAAAGAAAAATTTATTCGTTAAAAACATGGTCCGTTGAGTTACAGCACATAGTGCTGGGGTTCCACCCAGACGGAAAGTACTGGTTCCGAGACAGTGATGCCCCCATCTTCAATGTCCAAGTGGTGGCCCCCGCGGCCATGATGGAGGCGGACAAGATGGAGAAGGCCATACAGCTCATGACCAAGGCCGTCCAAGAGAACTTCCCCGATGTCAGCGAGGACAGGTGAGAGATGATGTATTAGATGGGGGGGGGGGGGGGAGTTGAGGGTTGATTAAAAGGTTGATTTAGAAAGGTATAATATATTTTTTGGAAATATATCTGTGTACTGCTACGAGTTTTTTTGTGATGCGTGTGGTTGTCGTGGATGCCGGAGCGAGGGGGGGGGGGGGGGGGGAGCTGTTCGTTACCATTGGAGGGAGAGGGGGGGGGGGGGTACTTTGGGAGAGGGTTGACGGGCTCACGGCTCACCCAACCGTTTTTGCTAGCCTCCATTTCCGGAAGCGTCCTGTATTGCAATGAAACGCCTGACTGATTAGTAAAATCTTTTGATTTGGGGCAGGCAGGATACGTTTTTCAACCTGGACTCATCAACATCATGATGGCAAAAGTAGCTAAAGACTAACACGCCGTCTCAGCTTAGCTCAATACCTTGTTCGCTCAAAAAAGCCCTCACTTACCTCGGTTGTGGATAAAAGTTTCCAGCACCTTTGCCTTAAACATAGTAGAACTCTGCACTTTATTGGTTCTGTTTATATCTTCGCTTTAAATACACAAAAATTATTATGATTAGTTTTTAAAAAATATGTTTAGAGTTCTCATCTTCTTCCGTGCCCACGATCCTTCTCAAGCTGGAATCAGTGGCCAGACGATGCTCAAGTACTACCAAGGCCTCTAAGGAACAGACACAACATGGATCCCATTGAAAATCAAACAAACGATGCAAGTGAAATCAAATAAAGTGAATAAACGTCTTACCAATTCCTGTCTATCTTGATTTATTATGGAGTTTATTTGAATTTGACCTCCTTGTTCACGGAAAAATGTCCGGACCAGTGGAGGGTGCCTTAGGAAAAAAGTGTAGACTTAGATGATTGCTTCTCCAGGTCCATTTACCTATCAAACTCACCGGCATCGCAAAGTGGTTCCTTGAGGTAGTGAGTTCACTTCTATCCACAATACCGAAAGGGTAACTACGTTGGATGCCCCTTTTCAATCTGCTCCAATGGCTGTGATAGTAACTAAATTAGGATAAATATAAACTCAGTTACAGCGGGCTCCAAAGTGTCTAGAACATAATCAAGTACTGTAATGAAACAAAAAGGTCCGCGATTTATCCCACAACTGCTGAATAGCAATTCGACTTTCTGGCAGGTTCTTACTTGAGAACTTAAGTCTGTTTAAATTCGTTTTATTGACAAACTCATTACCCTCAATAACCTAAGTATCTTCACTACTAATTCAAACTGAGAAGATCAATTGGCTTTGCATTTCCTCAATGGTGTCACACTTGCAGACCGAATATTTGCTCTAGCTTGCTCAATTGTTCTGATTAAATTTTTAGAAACTAACTTTTATTGGCTTTGCAAAACTTTTTCTCTGAGTAACTGTCAGAACAAACAGTTCTCTCGCTGAGCGTTATCGTTCTGCCGATTGTTATGCCTTCATTATATCTTTCTATTTGAATTGTATTTATAGATTTAATTTGAGTTTGTTTTGCCCCTACAAGCCCGGACTTTATTTTGGTGCCCTTTGACGCTAGTTAAAGAAGTCAAATTCGTTAAACGTATATCTAACTGAGTCAAGTAAATGTCATATCAATTTTACCTCAAAATCAAATCATGCTAGATCAAGAAACTACCCAAGGAACTAAATTAAATATTTCGTTAGAAATCCGGTCCATCAAGGCTAGGGTGAGGTTTTTATCACTCGTTGCGACTTTGTTAAGACTCTGAATTCCCCATATATACTCTAACTCAACACGACCTTCGTGCTATCCGGGAAGGAAATTTTTTCTACAGGGGTCCAATAGTTCTTGTTAGATATCATGTCTACACAGATATTGAAATCACAAAAATTCAGATATAAGTACCTCAGATTGGGTGAACCAAAAACCATATTAACGTCCGTTCATTGTTCCATTGAGCAAAATTGAAATTGCGAGAGGGTTAAAAAACACTTCATAATTTTTTTCGGCAACATTTTTTGTAAACTCAGACACAAAATACGTTTAATTTTTATGGATTTTCATTTAGAAAACAATGGTTACATATGATTTATTTAGTTATGCTATAGCTTTTCCTTTTCGCTTCTTCTTACAACACGCATAAAGAAAGACACAATTTGAAATCAAAAACCTATTTGTTCCGACTGCCTTTTAAGGTTTATGGAGCAGTAATAACATTGAAAAATTAAATGTAATGAAAAAAATGAAATTTTTTTTCTAAAATTTGAATTTTTTATGAAATTCATCCCCCCACACGCCATATAAAGTACAAAAATAGATATTAATTAAATGCTTTTATTTTATTGTTAGTTTCGGCTCAGCGTAATCATTATCGCGTGTACAATTAGTTTTAACCCGTTTTTTCTTCGGCAATCGAAACCAAACTGTCTATGATAGCTAAACAGCGGTTATACCTAAATCGAATTATAACTAGAATCAATTCAGTTATTGTTCCGACTTTCGATACGAAAGTAACGGAATATTTGTGCTCGTGCTGGGTTTTTTTTTTCTTCAGACAAATTTCGACTTTTTAACTAGCCATTTTTTACAAAATTTTTTTTATATCATTTAAAAGGTATTATTGTCTTGAGCTCAAATTTGAAAAGATATTTCACCTGTGATCATTTTTTGTAAAGTTACGGGGGTTTAAAGATTGCCATTTTGGCCAACTAAGGGACAATTAACGCACGATATATTTTTAGCTATTAACGCGTAAGCGAGATTTAATCCGTCGTATAAAAATCGTTGCAAGTTGGTTGAAAGAAGCTTATTTGCCATAATTTATTTGTGAAAGGTGCAAAATCTATCTTTTTGTGCTTTATATGGCGTGTGGGGGGATGATTTTAAAAAAAAAATTCAAACCTTAGAAAAAAATTTTTTGATTTTTTTTCTTTAATTTATTTTTTTAATATTATTACTGCTCCATAAACCTTAGAGGGCAGTCGGAACATTCAGGGCTTCGCCCTCCTGATACGAGCAGTCTTGTTGTTCGTAAGATAGTTTTTTTTTCTTGATTAAAACTTGACACGTGAACTGCTTTGACAGGTTAACACGAAATAAACTATACACATTGAATAAAAGCTGATCTGGATTGAAACTGATTCGAAGCAAAACTTTTCGAAAATGATTTTTTTCTTGCCGTTCAAATTCCTTCAATTTTCCATATCGGTACTTGAAAACTTTTTGCAAATGTCTATACTTGGTTTTAGAAGCAAAAGGTTGTTCTGATTGCGTGTTGAAAGGAAAAATGTAACATTAAACTATTTCTTAAACAGTTTGGGCGTATAGGCATTTTTTGAACAATGTAGCTTTCCTAAACAATAATGACCGCGACATCATGAAAAAATTTTATTGTTGAAAATATCGTTTGAAATTATAAACATCGAGGTATCGAGCTGAAATTTCATTTCATTTGTGTATGACATATCAAAAAAATTGCTTGCAGCGTACAGTTTTTAAATTGATATATAAAGTCTTCCTACTTCGTACTAGTTTGAAAGACAGGATAGTCAATGCTTTCACCGAACACAAAAAGTTGTTCAGGAAACCACCCCTTCCAAAAATCAAAATGAGCCCTTAAAAATTCCACAAGTTTTTTTTAAAGAAAGGCCTGTATTATAGCGAAAACGTTTAGTAACAAAGTGGTTGCCTGATTTGTTCAGACGGAGGATTTTGGTGATTTTGGTGAAGTGGTGTATTAATTGGTTCAGGTCCTATAATTAAAATTAATTTTGCTGTGACTGCATTTAAGTAATCTTCTACAGAATATTCAGGGTCTGTGCCTCTAAATACCATCAATGGTTTATTTGATGTTATTGACGATCCACCCATTAGGTATGGATTCATTGTCATTTGTAGTGATTCTGAAGTTGATTTTTTGTTATTTCATGTTGTTGTAAGTTATATGGTAGTGGTATTTCATTTTACGTTTGTGTTGGTTGTTAGGAATGCATATTGACCGGGTTTTGTGATTGTGCTGATTGGTAGGATTGTGTACTAGGTTGATTTTGTATGTGCAATGGTTAATAACTTTGTGTATTAGCTAAATTTTGTGGGTAATATTTTATGTTTTGGGATGCCTGATTTTGTCGAGGTTTTTGTGCACAATATTCTTGTGTGTATGGTGCAAAAACATCTGGTTGGTAATAATCGTCATCATCTGATGATAAATAATTTGATGTATAATATGGTGTTTGTTGTTTATTCCTATTTTATTGGAAAAATGGGTAATTTTCACTCTGATCCTGTGAGGGATGTGAATAGTCATGGAAATTTACTTAATTTGTTGATGTAATTGGAAAATTCGATTTATGTGAAAACAAATGATGTTGCCTATTTATTCGGGGAGGATGAGTTGTTTGTGATGGATTTCCATAAATATAATTGTGTTCTGCGTAATTATTTTTTGTGAATGTTTTTCGTGTTTTTAATGGTTTCGTCATTGGTCTATATGTCTGATAATCCATATGTGAATATTTTGGAGCAACCGAGGGTTTAACCGTAGATTGCAATGTTACTTGTGGTAATGTTGGTTTTTTTGGTTTTGGCGTTGTAAGGTTTGGATGTATTGGTGAAATACTTTGTTGTGTAGTTGTTACTATTGATTCAACTTTTACTTCATTTATAAAATGTGATGGTGTTTGAATATCCTGTTTTAAAAGATTTCTAGTTCCATTCAGATTTTCCTGTTGTACAAGAGTTGAATTTAAACTATTATTTTGTCTTCTATCGGGTAGAAATGAATTATAGTTTAAAGGTGTTGCATCTATTGTAAGTGGAAATACTTTTACATAGTCCTTATGAATAGATATTGTACTGATTGCTTGACTTGAGATGTCTATTGGGATGTTCAGGAATAGTGGATGAGACCAATCAGGGTCCCAAATATAATCTGATTGTTCTGCAATGACAGTGCCATCATTGGTACTTTGAGGTCTAAATTTTTTTCTTGCTTGTGCAATTAAATCAATATTACGTGTGAAATAGTCAATTATAATAAACCATGCTAAAAATTTTTTTAAATCGTGTTTAACATTTTCTGAAATTTTATTGCCTCAAAAGATTTTCACGGATTGTGTTTAAAAATTCTGAGAATGCGGCAGTTTCATTTCTTACATTCGTGTGTCTTGATGTTTGAACTGATGACGTACTTTGGGTTTCTGTCTTTACTAGTATGGATAAATAACTATATAATATTGCAAAAACATCGTTAGTAAATATTGAATTTGCGTCTGTGAATTTTGGTGTTGTATATTTTTAATGTATTCTGCGAATACTTTTGAAAATTCTATGTCGACGTCGTCTGTTTAAATAACATATTTACCATGAAATTTATTTTCTGTACTGAGTTCTATGGTGTAAATTCCATATTGTTGTGTTAAGTTACATATTCTTTTTAAATAATGATCGACAATTTGTCTTTTGATTTTTATTTCTGGGAATTCTGCTTTGCGTGGGCTAATTCCTTGTTCGAATAAATTTGCAATTAGATTATTGCAAAATTGTACTTGTCCTCTATCGTCAGTGAGTGAAATGATGAGAAATGTAAAAACAGAGTTTTATGACTGTTTTTCTTTTTTCGTTTTATGACTGTCATTTTTCGTTTTATGACTGTTAGTGCGTAATGTTCAATGTGTCTATTTGGTTGATTCCAATTGTATAAACGTACTGGTTTATTTTTATATATCTTTTTTATTCTTCTTTTTTCTTGTTTTGATGAATGTGATGTGGCTTCTGAGTCGG